ATTACCGGTACATGCAGCCCCCAGTTACATACCCCCTGCTTGCTCAATCGATCACGAACCTCTCACATAGACCCCATTGGAGTTGTAAGCCCTTAAAAGGGACAGGAATTGCTAACTCAGGGAGTTCGGTTTTTGGAGATGTGAGTCTGCCGAAGCTCCCAGCTGAATAAAGCCCTTTCCTTCCACAACTTGGTGTCTTAGGGGTTCTTGTCTGTGGCTTGTCCTGCTACAACTTTACCTAAGAGTCTGTTTTCTTGTATGCAAGGGGAAGATAAGAGTAGCTACCTTAATGGATTCTTATGAAGATTAATTGAGATAATTCTAGATTAATTGTTAATTATAGTACCTGGCACATTGTAGATACTCTATAAATATTCATTATTCATATTAGCATATAATCTTTCATCCAATAAAGTTGTTTGTTGAAATAAATTTGACTTAAATCTAAGTCATATATATATATGAAATATATATATATAAAATGACATTTAAAAATGTCTAGATATTTACCATGTTCATTTAAACCAAAATATTTAGCTGACTTTAATGAGAAGATGATTTTTGTTCTGACCATGTCTATATGAATTAAACATAACAAACCATAATGAATGTTTTATTTAAAGTGTTTTACCTCTATGCCTATAGTGAAGAGATTATCATCTTAAAGTTTAATGTAAGTTAATACATATTAGATGCAAAGTTAAATAATTGTCTATTGCCTAATAACATGGTTTCATTCATTCATTCATGATTTTCTATGCCCTAGACATTGTACTAGGTATTTGGGAAACAGACACACTAGAAATGTAAAGGTAGGATGCAGGATCTTATATGGCTTACACTGTAGTGAGAAAAACAGTAAATGAATATTCTGTAAAATGAACTATATAAATACAGATAGAGAGAAGTCTTTGGAAAAGAAAGAAAAACATAAAAATGGATAATGAGAGAGATTAATCAGAATTGAAGGGATGTTCTGAAGAAGTTATGCTTGTAGGGGCCTGGATAATAATATGGCATTAGACGTATAAATAAATGTAGAACAAAACATTCCAGGTGGACGGAATAACAAGTATGATGTATTCAGTAAGTTAGGGATAATATAAGGGGGAAAAAGGGTAGAAATTATTCCTGAAGGGGCAAACTGAAGGGGCATTCCTGAAGGACTGACTGAAGTCCTCTTGAGAAGCTAGACATACGTTCTGAGGAACAGGCAGTCTTAAAAACCACAATGATCAATGTATGGAATGTATGAAAGAACCCAGAGTCATTCCTGACTCTCCACTTTGCCTTAAACTCCAAATCAATACTTCTGAAAACTCTGAGATCCCAGGACATACACAGAACTAACCACTTCTCCACTCCTTTAATCCTATCACTTACTCAATCACCATCCCCTTTATTCTTGATTATTAATATCACCACATCACCTTTATCCTTGATCATTAATATCACCCTTTTAGTGTTCTTACTGCTTCCACCCTTGGGCCTTATGATCTATTCTCAACACAGTACACTGAGTCATCAATACAATGTAGAAAAGATAATGTTATTCTCCTGTGCATACAATCTAAGAGCTCCACTTTTTACACAAAATGTGAACTAAGAATCCTATCATGGTCTCAAGGTCTGATATAATCTAGTTGCTCTAGTTGCTCAGAGTCCTGTCAAAATCGTGACTACACATTCTCTGGCCATTTCCCTTATGTTCAGATAAATGGTATATTCATAGACTTCCTATCCAAAAACAACACTTGTAGTGCCTTTTTGACTTTCCAGGTCTTACATCAGAAGATAGAAGTTTTCTCTGGCCTCTCTGTGTGTACATCCTGTCTACTCTCTGGACTCTGCCATTCTGTTCCCCTCTCTATTACCTAAGATTATTTTTTAAATTCATAGTAATTATTTTCAGTAGTTATACTTAGTATCTTTGCCTATTTGTGCATATTATGATGTTGATTGGATTTAGGGAGAGAACACACTGAAATATTGTTCAAGCAAATACAGTTTAGATGGGAAGGAGGTGCATTTTGGTGGGTTATGAGAGTAACTCTGAAACCAGACTACTTTGGTTCACATCCCAAATCTACCACTTAGTAGATGAGTATAATCTCATGCAATTTATTCAATCTCTCTGTGCCTTATTTTCTCATGATAGTGATATCAATATCCAACTTCAGACATGTTGTTAGACTTAGTCAATTCATGTGAAGAAATTGATATAATGTGTGATACATAGAAAGTACTTAATATGTTATTAAATTAAATTATTATTTTGCTGTTTTTGTAAGGCTATCCTTAAAATCAATTGTGTGATTAATATCTTAGGCAACTTATATTGTTAAGAATAGTAAAACAGAAAGATTTTGAAGGGAAAGAAAAATGTCAGGAATATACTTCTGGTTCAACTTAAATTTCCATGTGATTTTAAAACTGGAAGGATCATGTAACTTGGTGAAAGTTTGACTTTTTTGGTAAACTTCTCCTATGATCACTTCCAGTCTTTTATTTCTTCCCTGCTGTTTTCAAGTTTAATTCCTTTGTTGAAATAAATCTCTATCTTGAATGTGCGGTGACTATTAAATACTACAATTGATTGCTGCTGTATGTTCTACTAATGAACCATAAGAAATTCTCTCTCTTGTCACTTTTACACAGCTGACTTCATTCACACTGCATAAATGAACACCTAAAAGCAAATCAGTGTCAGTTTTTATTAATATGTAGCAGTTTTCAGATTACAGTTACCAAATAGGAAAACGTATTTGTTGGTTAAAAGTGAAGATTAAAAAATGATGAATTTCTGAGAATTGTATTTCAATTGCAACCTTATAGAGAAGTAAATATTAGAGATAGTATCACAAAGTGGAAAGAACACAATGTGAGGCAGCAGACCTGAGTCTGAATAGCGGATCCTTCCCCTTACTGGTTGTGCAAACTTGATGGAACACTTAACCTTGTTGAGTCACAGATTTTCGATCTGTAAAAGAGAATTCCTTTCCTGTTAAATACACACTATTCAGAGCAGTAAGAGACACCGTTTGCAACACAGTAGTAGGTGAAACATTTTAGTGAGGGTAATAATTAGGATGTTAAATTCCCACATACTTGAGGGAGACAGTAGGTGTAGAGGGGAGAGATGCAAGACCTCATTCCATGGAAAAATGAGGTCCCTGGGCTTCAAAGTTCTTTTTGTGCATGCACTAGCAGACAATCGCCACTGTCCAAGGTGACGTCTCTTAGATGCTGAGTCCCTGCACTCCGTATATGCCTCCTAAACTGGTGCTGTGATAAGATTGAGGGGAGCACTGGCCATTCTACTTTGCTGAATTTGCTTCCTTTCAACTCCTACTGTGATGAAAACATCTGACTGTTGCTATATCCTCAACTCAACCCTTGCTAAGATTGTCTGCCTTCAATTTCTGCTGCAAAATAATTTATCTCTACCCTAGTAGGATCCCTGACAGACTCATAGGCTCTCAACTCAGAATCCACATCTGAAGAGACATAAGGAGCATTCACACACGCCAGCTAGGGCCTGACCATTTGCTCTATTCTCTTCATTAGCCTGTTACCTTATTTTGTAGTAAGGCTTTGCACAGAGTCTCTTTCTGGTGTCCTAATTCACTAAGAAACAAGGTAAATATTCCACGCTTTCTGTACTCCCTTCATTTTATTAAACACATATCTAAAGAAGGTCCCAGTGAATAATGTCTCTGAGCATTCACTCTCTCATGGATGGATCGACCCTATAACTCACTTATCACCAAGAAACTGTGGCACAAGTGACACTGTAAGACTTCTGAGTCTAGGCAAGAAGCAGCATGGTAGTGTCTGCCATGGTCTTTCAGAATGCTTTCTTTGGAGCATATAAGAAATCTGAGTATTCTAGAACTGCCCTGTGAGGAATCTCCAGTTCCTCATGTTGAGTGTCCACATAGAGAGAGATGGTTAACCAGCCTCAGCACTTCCTGGCACCAGACATACAGGGGAAGAAGAAATCTCTCAAATACTTTAGCCTCAACAATAATCTCATTGCAACTCCAAAGGAGCCCCACCAGGCTGAACTCATCAGTTTTATGAATCAAAGAAAATAATAACAACTCATTGTTGTAATCTAATGTGCTTTCAGGGGATATGTTCTACAGCGATAGATAAGCAGGACATCTTCTTTTGTTTAAAAGCCAAAGAGGGAAAATTAGGACACCAATCTGTTCCACTCACATGTCTATTTTTCTTCTTTCTTTTCACAATTCTAAGAGCTATAAATACATGCAGGTGTCATTGTTCTGCTGTTTGTGTGTGAGGATGTGGGGTTTTTGTTGGCGGTGGTGGTTCTGGTTTTATTTTGTTTTGCTATTCTTAACAGTAAACTGGTTTCTCCTCTATACTAATAGTCTCTAAATTTGTTTCAATCTTATACTCCTCCAAATAAAAAGACATGTTGAGAATTCATGTGCACATGCCCTGAAGGGAAAAAAAAATGATAGAATGTGGGAAGCAGAGAAGAAAAGAAGAACCCAAGCAAAAGTATAATTTCAGGAAAGTCTTGAGGGGAGTACTTTAGCCTGATTCTGCAAAGAATTCCTGGAATGTATATTCTGTGTCAAAAATGTGTTCTGGCTTAAGGCAGAGGACCTGAGCTTTCATAACCTACACTGGTTTGTCACTAACTAAGGGCTTTCTGAGAAGGTGGCAATGGGAAGACAAATTCTGAGGACTTCTAGTTTCAACAGGCCAAGCAGTTGTAGTAGCAGCTCTTTGAAGAGCCACAGTTGTGTACTATTGAAAGAAAAAGTAGGCAGACACTGGGAATCAAAAACAGTGAAAGAAAGTAAAGGGGATTTCACTGGCACCAGCAATATCCATACATACCCCAATATATGTTACGGTGGCAAACATAAAAGACAATAAAAAGACATTGCTTTAGAAAGAGCCTCACAGGAAGGAGTGTACAGAAATCACCCCAGAATAATTTTTTTCTTCTTCTTCTTTTTCAGGTACTCCTAGAAAGTCAGCTAACAAATCAAAAACTGATCTAAGACAAATGGCATTCAGAAAAGATTCCTCTTTCCTCTTCTCCCCACTTCTCTTCCTCCTCCAAGCCAGACTGGGATACAAGTAATATATATAAAACATTCCAGCAGCTCACATTAATGAGTTCATGAAAACCTAATCGTTATCTACCCTCTATATTAAAATTCTATCTCACAGGTTAACATTAGAGTCTTCTGAATATTTGTTATAAAAGGGAGACTGTATGATAGTACCACAGTAACACAGCTATATGCTCACCAAGTACTTACCAGTGTGAGTACCATTGCCCTTCTCAGGATGCCTATTTACTTTTAATAAAATAATCTTGACACATATAAAGCAAGTCAAACAGATACTGAATCAAATAAATCTAAAACATAGTAACTTAAAAAAAAAACTTTTTCCATCATGACAGTGTCATGACATCAATGGCTATTACGGCAAGACACAAGAAACTTCTAGGCCAGATTAGGTGATATGGACTGAAGATGCCCTTATTAATAAAAATTCCTTTTATAGATGTAAATTTCCTTTACAAAAGGACAGCTTTTCAGAGCTACTCCTTTGTCTGTGGTTTCTCAAAATAATCTGCTCCAAATATGCCAAAGAACTATGTGTTGCGATGACATATTCTGGTTTTCTACAGTAATATTTTGGGGGTAGTGTGTCCTGCCTCCCAACATATCCATCCTGCCATATTTCTTGTTGTTTGTTTTGTTGCCTACTCTACTTGCATTGTAGGTATTACCTTCAATGTGTGGCCTCTTTGCATAAATGGTTTAAGCAATTTATAATTTCATAGGGTTCATTTGGTTGAAATGGGAGGGTATAATCTGTAAATCCACTTCACAGGCACATATTACTGCACTATGTCACAATATGCTGAAGATAAACCAACTGGGGAGGACATCATTACTTATTATTGGACAACCCCTATGATTGTCTCTGAGTAGCCCATACAACATAGAGGACATTTGACCATGTAACACAGGGGACAGAATTAGGACAGCTTTTAAACTCTATGAATTAAAATTAGTAAAGTATAATGTCTTATTTATTTTTAGATAAATCTAAAATTTTAATGTAGGATCTAGTATTTTCTTCCTACACCCAAGTCAACTTACCTGGTATAACATACCAGGGTTTATATACTTAATTTTTCTTTTTCTTATTTTTTTTCCCCAATTTCAACCAAACTATAAGTACATGAACATCATCATCATCACCTAATAACTCCCACTCTGCCCTCCTGCCTTCTCTGGTTCCTCTAAACTACTCTGAATTTGCCTCTTCTGGGTATGTCATGTACGTGGAATCACAGAACATTTATCCTTTTGTGTGTTTCTTAGCTCTGCAGTAGTTGGAAATCTCCTTTGTTTTTCTGGAGTGATACATTTTGTTGCCTGTTTACTACATGTCCCACCAGCTTCTTTTTCTCTCATTCTCAATAAATGCTTGATGCTTTTCCATCTAATCATAAATTTAATACTTTGTAATTTTATGTAAAATATTACATACTACAAAAATACACATATGGATGAACATATAGAATTTTTCCACAATCTATCCAAAAATATAGATAATATATTTTCCATTATGACGTGAGTTGAGAGAAAAAAGTTTCATATTTATAATATTAATTAATGAGATAGCACATTATACTTCATTTGCATATCTTACTGGAAGCTAAAACATGCCAGTTGAGCTATTGTCTTAATTAATTGTCGTTCAGTGAACCACAGTGCATTGCATTTCATAAAGAAATAAGATCGACCACTGACTGTTTAATTCTCTTTAGCACAAGAGTTACAAATCATACTAAACAACATTAAAATAATTACTAAGTTATATAGCCATATACACATACACAAACATATAATTCTAGCTGTTCATTTAAAGTAAGAAAGTAAATTGTTTTTGTATTTTCTTTTAAATTGGCATATAACAAAATTACTTATTTCTTTTTTACCAGTTTTATTCAAAAATCTATTTTACCAACTGATTTGTTCACTTCAGAAAATGCTAAACAACTTATTTTAATAAAATTACTCCCAATTCAGCTTAGAAAGTTTGATTATAAATTAGAAAATTGAAACAACACTCGAAATTTGAAATACAAAATTAAAAACTTTCTTTTTTCCTAAAGATGTGATCATAGCATATGATCAGATAATAACGGATAAACTTACATAGTTTTTTGTGGCCATTTTTTTATTTACCAAGTACTCAGAAAATGTGATGTGGATTCTTCAATTTTTATATTAATAGTAGCTTCAGTTATTTTTCTGAGCCTCTTTGTTTTTTGTTTGTTTTTTTGAGACAGAGTCTTGCTCTGTCGCCCAGGCGGGAGTGCAATGGCGCTTTCTCGTCTCACTGCAACCTCCACCCTCCAGGTTCAAGCGATTCTCCTGTCTCAGCCTCTGGAGTAGCTGGGACTACAGGCGCGCAATACCGCACCCAGCTAATTTCTGTATTTTTAGTAGAGACAGGGTTTTGCCATGTTAGCCAGGCTGGTCTTGAACTCCTGACCTCAGGTGATCCACCCGCCTTGATCTCCCAAAGTGCTGGAATTAGGGCGTGAGCCACTGCGCCCAGCCTGTTCTGAGCCTCTTTCATTGAAAATTCCCATTATTAAAAAAAATAGAGGAACATAATTTCTTCATGAGTGGTATAAGTGTAGTTATGGACTATAGAGGAGAAAAAAACCTTTCTGTCTACCCTCTGAAGTTGATAATTGAGTCTGTAAAATAAACTGACAGGAAACAGATTAACAACAGAAAGGGTGAACACGTTTATTACGTGCATGGGGCATCATCAGAGGAAAGAAAAGTGTGTACCCCAAAAGCCAGTGAGACTTAAAAGCTGCATACACTCTTTATAGGGAAGACTGGACAGGAGATGTAGGCAATTTAAGGGAGAGTGAATACTTTTGAAGAAAAATGAATGGGCCCTCCAAAGAACAGGTGACAGTGTGGGCAGTGTCAAATTTCAGTCTCTTCTTCCGTGATACAGTTAATCTTTACTGGGTAATGGATTCCTAGGGTGGAGACTCATGCCAATGCATTTCTTCTGTCTGTAGTCAGATAAGGGAACTTCACAGAAAGCCCCTCCCTGTGCCCAGAAGAAAAGAGGAATGAGAGGAGGGTAGAGAAGGTCGGAGAGACATTAGTTCTGAGGCTGTTTCTGAAGCCTTTCAATCTTCTTTAGTTCAAAATACTCTGCTTGCCAAGGTGTCATGCTTCAACATATTATTTTCTGAGTGCCAACAAGGCCAACAGGAAATTTTGTCTTCACAGAATCATCAACTTGTTGGTTTCTGTATACGTCAATGTGATAGAACTCTCTGTGGCTTCTAGAGACTGGCGTAACTTTGAGTTTGTATATTATACTCCTATTCACTCAAATATAAGAGTTAATGTTTGCAGTGCTCTCTCTGCCAAAAATTTTGCTAGATCTTTTTTCATGCATTATCTTATTTAATCCTAATAATCCTTTGAGGATAGGTACTACTATAAGCGACCTTCTTTTTTAGGTGAAGAAGCCAAGCCTTAGAGATACTAAGTGTGTGAAAGGAAAATAAAAACTTGAGATCCCAATTCATTATGCCAAAAGTAAAAAATTAAGCTGAGAGCTGAGTCATGAAAGAAAATGCCTTTCCTTTTGTTCCTCAGCAGACAGCTACAGAAAAAAGGTTAAATATCGCCACAGGTTCACCTTATCTTATGTAAAGTGCCGATATATTGAGTGTAAGACTAATGCATAATTGACTATTCCCCTACCTGTTTCTTTTCCCTTGCAACATGTGGATTACCATACCCTCCCTCTTTCCCCTCCAACCCACTTTTCCCCTTTAAATATTAAAGCCCTCAAAATTATCTTTGAACAAAGGCACAGACCACAGACTGTTTCCGTGGTCCCTTGTTTATTCCTTCTGGGCATTGTTCTTAACTTTAGCAAAATAAACTTCTAAATTGATTGAGACCTGTCTCAGATACATTTCTGTTTACAAGTTATCAGAGGCATTTGAACCAGAGCAACTCCATCTTGAATAGGGGCTGAATAAAATAAGGCTGAGACCTGGTGGGCTGCATTCCCAGTAAGTTAGGCATTCTAAGTCACAGGATGAGATAGGAGGTTGGCACAAGATACAGGTCATAAAGACTTTGGTGATAAAGCAGGTTGCAGTAAAGAAGTTGTGGCCCTAACCCACCAAAAACAAGATGGCCATGAAAGTGACCTCTGGTCAATCTCACTGTTCGTGATATGCTAATCATAATGCATTAGTATACTAAATGGCACTCCCATCAGCACCATGACAATTTACAAATGCCATGACAATGGCAGGAAGTTACCAAATATAGTCTAAAAAGGGGAGGAATCCTTAGTTCTGGTAATTGACCACCCTTTTGCCAGAAAACTCATGAATAGTCCACCCCTTGTTTAGCATATAATCAAGAAATAACCATAACCATAAAAAACGGGTGAACAGCAGCCCTTGGGGCTTTTCTGCCTATGGAGTACCCACTCTTTATTTTCTTAATGAACTTGCTTTACTTTATGGATTCACTTCAAATTTTTTTGTGGAGTCCAAGAACCCTTTCTTGTGGTCTGGATCAGGACCCCTTTCCAAGGTCACACAAGTGACTTGTCCAAGGTCACACAAGTATGATTCTCATGAAATCATTTGACTGATGAACAAATGGTTTCCTCCACACATCAGGATGCTGGTGTCAATGGCTATCCAAATGATAATGCCAATGGTATTACCTTTCTGCCATAACTTCTTCACTTCAAAAGATGGTGTACTTTTGTGTAACAAAAATCTGTTTAGATATAAGAATCGTATTTCAAACTCTTCTGTTCTTACCCTAAATCATTCTGCCAGATATCCTAAATCATCTCTGTCAAGTTCAAAGCCCCACAGATCTCTAGGGCAGGGGCAAAATGCCATCAGTCTTTTTGCTAAAGCATAACAAGAGTCACCTCTGTTCAAGTTCCCAAAAAGTTCCTCATGTCTATCTGAGATCATCTCAGCCTGGATATTGTTATCCATATTACTGTCAGCATTTTGGGAAAAAGCATTCAAGAAGTTTCTAGGAAGTTTCAAACTTTCCCACATCTTCCCATCTTCTGAGCTCTCCAGATCTCTTGGAAGTTCCAAAGTTTCCAGCATTTTCCTGTC